TTGTTTTTTCAAAATCAATTTCATCAAAATTCACTAAAAAAGCACTAACATAATATGTGCTGTGGGTATTGCAGGAACCCGACTCCGCAGAATGGTGATAACACGCTACCGACTTGGCCACCTTTCAGAATGTACTCTTGGCCTCACTATTCATTGGGACAGACTATCAACGTCGCCTATGGAATACCTATTCCCGATCGAACACTTTTATGGAACAAGTTACACAAGAAATACTCTCGCACGCCTAAAGCACCTAGCGCTGGAAATATTGTGTGGTTAGGTAGTTAAAGTAAAACAGGCTCCACTCCAGAATATCACATAAAATCCCGTATCTGAACCGTAAGTTATTCAAAATCTTAAAGCAATAAATTTTTCGAAGTTATCTCGTTTTTTTCGCTCTAATGACGTTAGCATCTGGTTAATTAAATTTTCATACGTAGTAAGTTCTACAAATTTGGCACATAAACGCGATGCATTAAATTTTTTTCTAAATCAAACGGTATTTCATTTCGCTCATCTTTTGAAAGAAGCAAATTTTATTTACAAAACCCAATAACTAATTAAACTTGTTTGGCGTGGTTTACAAATAATTTATTTTGTATAAAAGTTTGTATTTCTAATTTTTAATAAGCCCACATTCATTCATAGAATTGCGTGCCTGAATTGTCAATGGGCCGGACATGTAGCTCGTAGAATAGATGGCTGTTGAGGCAGTAAAGACTTCAAGTGGCGACCTCGGACTCGAAAACACAGCGTAGGCAGGTTTTCCGTGAGATAGACCGACGATCTGGTCAAGATTGTCGGGAAGCGTTAGATGAGGACCGCGCGCGACCGATCGACGTGGATTTTGGTTGAGGCCTTTGTCCATAAGTGTACGTTCTCCAGGGGCGGTAGTCTCGACACAGTTTGCGAACGCAATGTCACCGAATTCGGTCGCTAACTCTTAGCGATCGTAATTTAACGAATATTGCAAGTCTCTACATTTAAAGTTATCGATTTTTGTCGGTGGCGTAGCGAGTTCAACTGTCAAATTAACGAATTTCGCTAGCTCCTTAGCGACCAAATTTGACAGCTCGATAAGTGACTTTTGTGATCGCTAATAATATTATTTTCGATATTTCACGGTATTTCGAGGTATTTATATCGGAAATTTAGTCATAAAGATATTTAAAACGTGATGGCTGAAGCATATTTAGCATTAGATTTAACAGTGTTTGAACATCGACACCTTATGGTGAGGCGACGGCAAATAGCCAGAATCAGGCGATGTCTCCAAAATCTTTTGGCTTTAGATGAGACGGAATTCTTATGTTATATAAAATTAGCAGAAGATTGATCGAACGTTTTTATACCTAAGATTATTTTTTATTTCAATGTATTTTATGTAGGTAGATGTACAAATTAAAACCACCATATAAGTTGTAAATTCACTTTTATTTATTTTGAGCCGGAAAAAAATGCATCCCCTATTTTACTCATTGCCTGTGCATGAATCAATGAATCTTCGGCCTGCTTCGTTGCAGCCTCTGTTTGCAATTTTGATGCAGCTGCCAGCATCTATAACAAATAAACTAAATAAATGTGGGACTCCTTTTACCCATATATAGGTATTAGTCTCATATTCAATCTTGTTGAATTTGATATAATCATAATGTTTTTGGGTATTTTTTGTTTATCTATTATTAATTAATTAATTTCAAATACATAACAAAATCACATTTAATAAAGATTGTGTAAACATACCTTCATTGATTCCCCATTTAACTCTGAAATGGCGAGAAATTGAGTTCCGGCTGAATCGTGTTGCTCTGCAACACTTCGACGAGAATTGAGATCTAAAAAACAGTATAAAAATATTTATCATTATAAATATTTATTATATTCATCACAATATAAACAATAAACATGAAGATTGTACTAACTTCTCTTCCTTCTAGACTGCACCTCACTTTGAGTATTGGGAGCCGTATTGCCAATGCATTCTAAAATAAGAAATAGCATTACGTTAGTAATATATTCTAAGAGACGAGAAGTAAAAATCATATCATAATATTTATCAAACACTTTCAATTCAAAAAGGTGTATACTTAGTAATATTTTATATTCAAAAAGAACTTCAAACGGGTACGTACTTAGCAATATTTGGAGCACGCGGAACCTGCTGCACGTGTGACTCCGCATCTGAATCTCCCACCATGACTCACAACACAAATTATTTCAATAAATTATGTGAAGTTTTTCACGAAACAGCGTAACCGTTATAAACAATAATGTTTTGACATATCGATGATCTTTTTGACATGAGCAAGATGTCGCAAGGGAACAAATTTTAATTTCCAATAATAATCGAATTGATTTAACACATTTAATAATAAATTATGCTTTTAAAATAAATAAGAAGCAATCATTTTCTAGTACGCATTTTTTTATTATTTTTATTTGCTTAATTGAACATGAAATCATTACTTAAAAACAAAATACGTTGTTTTGATTTCCTTAGATTTAAAATACTTTTGTCTGAGGCAACATTTTCTCCTTTAGGAAACTGCACTATGAATACAGATTTTCGATATGTTAGCGTCTGAATAGTTTACGATTTTGCTCGCTAACTCGGTAATAGAGACTTGCATTTGAAGTAACGATCGTTACCGCAAACAATTATTTTCGTTAATATTTGACATTCGATACTTTGCGATCGTATCGCTATTAATGTCGAGACTGCAGCCCCAGGGGCGGTAGTCTCGACACAGTTTGCGAACGCAATGTCACCGAATTCGGTCGCTAACTCTTAGCGATCGTAATTTAACGAATATTGCAAGTCTCTACATTTAAAGTTATCGATTTTTGTCGGTGGCGTAGCGAGTTCAACTGTCAAATTAACGAATTTCGCTAGCTCCTTAGCGACCAAATTTGACAGCTCGATAAGTGACTTTTGTGATCGCTAATAATATTATTTTCGATATTTCACGGTATTTCGAGGTATTTATATCGGAAATTTAGTCATAAAGATATTTAAAACGTGATGGCTGAAGCATATTTAGCATTAGATTTAACAGTGTTTGAACATCGACACCTTATGGTGAGGCGACGGCAAATAGCCAGAATCAGGCGATGTCTCCAAAATCTTTTGGCTTTAGATGAGACGGAATTCTTATGTTATATAAAATTAGCAGAAGATTGATCGAACGTTTTTATACCTAAGATTATTTTTTATTTCAATGTATTTTATGTAGGTAGATGTACAAATTAAAACCACCATATAAGTTGTAAATTCACTTTTATTTATTTTGAGCCGGAAAAAAATGCATCCCCTATTTTACTCATTGCCTGTGCATGAATCAATGAATCTTCGGCCTGCTTCGTTGCAGCCTCTGTTTGCAATTTTGATGCAGCTGCCAGCATCTATAACAAATAAACTAAATAAATGTGGGACTCCTTTTACCCATATATAGGTATTAGTCTCATATTCAATCTTGTTGAATTTGATATAATCATAATGTTTTTGGGTATTTTTTGTTTATCTATTATTAATTAATTAATTTCAAATACATAACAAAATCACATTTAATAAAGATTGTGTAAACATACCTTCATTGATTCCCCATTTAACTCTGAAATGGCGAGAAATTGAGTTCCGGCTGAATCGTGTTGCTCTGCAACACTTCGACGAGAATTGAGATCTAAAAAACAGTATAAAAATATTTATCATTATAAATATTTATTATATTCATCACAATATAAACAATAAACATGAAGATTGTACTAACTTCTCTTCCTTCTAGACTGCACCTCACTTTGAGTATTGGGAGCCGTATTGCCAATGCATTCTAAAATAAGAAATAGCATTACGTTAGTAATATATTCTAAGAGACGAGAAGTAAAAATCATATCATAATATTTATCAAACACTTTCAATTCAAAAAGGTGTATACTTAGTAATATTTTATATTCAAAAAGAACTTCAAACGGGTACGTACTTAGCAATATTTGGAGCACGCGGAACCTGCTGCACGTGTGACTCCGCATCTGAATCTCCCACCATGACTCACAACACAAATTATTTCAATAAATTATGTGAAGTTTTTCACGAAACAGCGTAACCGTTATAAACAATAATGTTTTGACATATCGATGATCTTTTTGACATGAGCAAGATGTCGCAAGGGAACAAATTTTAATTTCCAATAATAATCGAATTGATTTAACACATTTAATAATAAATTATGCTTTTAAAATAAATAAGAAGCAATCATTTTCTAGTACGCATTTTTTTATTATTTTTATTTGCTTAATTGAACATGAAATCATTACTTAAAAACAAAATACGTTGTTTTGATTTCCTTAGATTTAAAATACTTTTGTCTGAGGCAACATTTTCTCCTTTAGGAAACTGCACTATGAATACAGATTTTCGATATGTTAGCGTCTGAATAGTTTACGATTTTGCTCGCTAACTCGGTAATAGAGACTTGCATTTGAAGTAACGATCGTTACCGCAAACAATTATTTTCGTTAATATTTGACATTCGATACTTTGCGATCGTATCGCTATTAATGTCGAGACTGCAGCCCCAGGTGAAATAATGAAAAAAATGCAAAGATAAAGAATCTCACGTGGCGAATGCATGATGTATTATAAAGTAACGAAAAAAAAAATTTAATCTATGCAAGATAAAAGTTACAATCTATTAAAAAAGATCTCGTGTTATTGAAGTACGGAAATAAATTCAATTTGAACCTGATCTGTTAGCGTTCAATTCAAAATTATAAAATAATTTATATTAAAAATAGTTGCCCAGCTACGCTATCCCGTTAAAAACATCCTTGAACACTTTGAAAATAACAAAAGAACATGAAAATAACAATAAGTCACCTGATATGATCGATAAAAGGCTAATGTAGCGAAAGACCCAATACATGTTAATTATTTTATCACACGTAATTGAGATAATGTTCAACTCAATATTTCTATAAAAAAAACGAGTAAACATGATAATTACACAAATACGCTGTAACAATGCTGTGGTTACTTTTTGGTGTAACGTTAGTATTAGGGGAGGGTGTAGTGGAGGAAAATTCAAATATAGTGGTCATCAAACAAGGTCCTGTAAGAGGATACAAAGTGGCTGGTACAAATGTGTTTGCTTACCACAATATTCCATATGCGACAGCACCAACAGGGCCAAACAAATTTAAGGTATGGATTTTAACATACTATTCGTGGCTTTTTTTGGTTAGCCCAAATGACCAAATGACATATCGCTCATTAGGAGTTATAAATACGATACTGCACAATATTTGATTAACAGAAGCAATCAAAGTTTACATGATGAAATTACACAATTTTATCATTGTTTTTTCAATAGAGGATAAATACTTCGTAAAAATTATGATCAGATTACAATTTTTATGATATAGCAATAATAGATAAAAATCATTTTATAATTACACTCCGGAATGGGGTGGGGAAGTCTGTGCAAGTTGCGGAACTCACCATACAAATATTGTTCCTCAAGAAAAATCGGAAAATCGCATCAATAACTCTATCTTGCATTAAAATGTTCGGAAATTTCATCATTTAACTTCAAATGTGCGATGTAAAGTTTTTACCGACTTACAAATTCAACCTTATTTTATTATTGTATAAGGATGACAATGAAAAAATATTGTAATATTCAAATGATTTCAGGCTCCTTTGCCGCCACCAGAATGGACTGAGGTTTATGATGCAATTGATAAGCAAGTCACTTGTCCCCAAAGTTGGCCAACTGTGAATCCCAAAGAGGATTGTCTTATTGCCAGTGTTTTCGCTCCTGAAAATCGAACGAACTTACCAGTTTTGGTATACGTTCATGGAGGAGCATTTCAGATAGGTTCTGGCAATTATGCAACTAAATTTGGTATTAACAGTATTTCTGAGTTAATTGTAGTCAACTTCAATTATCGTCTAGGGGTACACGGTTTCTTGTGCTTGGGTACAAAGGAAGCCCCAGGAAATGCTGGTATGAAAGATCAACTAGCACTTTTACGATGGGTCCATGATAATATCGCTGCATTTGGTGGCAATGCTGATGATGTAACTATTATGGGTTGTAGCGCGGGAGGCGCATCTGTTGATCTGTTAAGACTTGCAAGTGTTACGGAGGGTCTGTTTAAGAAAGTTATAGCAGAAAGCGGTGCAAATGCAGGCGCGTTTGGCATACAGCACAACCCGATAGAAAACGCCAAATATTATGCAAAAGCCCTGGGTTTTGAAAATATTGACGATTTAAGCGCATTGTCCAATTTCTACACCTCTGCTTCTTTGGAAACTTTATTCTCGAGATCAGATTTGGTTAGCAATAGGCCTGATTCGAGTGTTATTTTTGCGCCATGTGTGGAGAAAGATATTGGTATAGAAATGTTTCTCGACGATGCTCCAGTGAATATATTAAAAAGCGGTTCAAATAATGCGCACCCCGTATTATATGGCTTTGCTAATTTAGAAGGCGTAATGCGACTTGGACACTTCCAAAACTGGAGCATGAGAATGAATGAAAACTTTTCAGAATTTTTGCCAGCTGATTTAGCTTTTGAAAATGTAGAAGAAAAAGAGGCTGTAGCGAAGCGAGTCAAAGAATTTTATTTCGGAGATAAGCCCGTATCCCCAGATACAATTCAAGCTTACGTTGATTATTTCTCGGATACATTATTTGTCTACTCAATACTAAGATCAGTGAAATTAAGTACTGAATCTGGAAATAACAGCACGATATATTTGTATGAATATTCATTTGCCGATATTAATTCAATAGCATTACCTGGCGGTATGACTGGAGCACTTCACTGTGATCAAATACAAGCTTCATTTGATAGAAATGAAATCTTTTTCACAGAAGAACGAAGAAACATTATGGCTAAAATGAGAAGAATGTACAGTGACTTTATTACAACCGGGTAAGATAAAACAGAATCTATCTTCACTATAGAATATACTAATATATAAATAGAGTATTATTTACTAATAAGAAGATAAAAAAAATTAACATTAAATTCAGATTTGATATTTGCATTTGTAGTACTCATAATTGATTTAAAGATGCCTTTATAAATAATTAATGAATATTGAGAATCTAACTCAGAATTCTACAAAACCCAGTTGACTATGATGACTAATCATAAAATATAAAATTAATATTACAGGAGCCCAGTCTCTGAAGATTCTTTACTGCCGCCGTGGAGTCCGACAAACGCTAACAGAGATCCTTACATGGCTATGGGAGTGAACATATCAGTTCAAGGGCCGCTGTATGAGGAACGCGCTAATCTCTGGGATGACATATACGGGAAGTACTACCGCGCACCCATCCCACCTGGAAATTCTGCTAAGATTCTTAGCATCAACAAACTATTATGGATAATGTATATTATAGTTTTAATACCTAATTTGAGTGTGTTGCTGAGGAAAGCAACCATAACTATTTAATTTATTTTAAACATAGTTCTTTTGATATTTTAAGAATCAAGAATAGAGTGTATTAGAGAGATCTTAGTCAAAAAATTTTATTGAATGATGTAACGTTTAAAGTCACAATCATTTTTGGAACGAATGATGATTTGAATGATCAAGAATCATGTAAAAACTTTACAGCTTAATCTTTTCATCTAACGCTTGTCTTAGACCATCAAAGCCATATAAAGCCTAATTAACAATATCTTTCAAAAAACGTCGCGATAGCAATTGCTTTTTTAACTTTACGTTGTAGCGTCAAGTTCGTCAATATCTTTTAATTTTCAAATTAAAAAGGTATTGCGATTTATTTTAAAATAAGACATGTAGGTTTCTCTTCATCAAAATATTGCGTCTATTTCTGTATGTATACTGAGCAATGTCCTTAGAACGTGTATTGCGTTATTTTTAAGTATTTATTTAGTATTAACTTTAAAATCAAAAAAATAATTGGCATATTAATGATATATTTTATAAGCTATGGATACTTAATCTATGAAAGATTAATTGACGTGATATACTTATCAATATAATTCATTATAATAAGCTTCGTATCATTGAAGTATAAATAATAAGCCATATCAAAATATTTCTTTGGATTAATTATATTTTCAAAACATGAAATTCTTTTTTATAGAATCGTCATTTGTGTATTAGCTAGTGATATGTTTTCAACGCATTAGATCATTTTTCGTCGTCATGGATGAAACAGTTCTCTAAATAAATTGTTTGTCTTTTGCACGTGGCGCTTGGCTAGCTCAGTCGGTAGAGCATGAGACTCTTAATCATCAAGACTCTCAGTGGTGGGTGCCGCACGTTGGGCGCCACCAAAGCGTGGTTTTAATAAAAAGAAAATTGCCGTTCCAAGCCACAGATTTCAAAAAACCAGAGGGTCATTTCTATAATATAATAAAAACGTAACCGATCGATGTCTGTACATTGAAGATATATGAAAAAAAAAACTGTTATGAGGGACATTTATAAGCGTAATAGAACACAAAACAATGATTTTTAAATTTTTTGTCTGTTTGTCGGTTTGTCTGTTTGTCTGTGCGTTTGTGCACGATAATCTCAGAAACGGCTGAACCAATTTAATTGCAATTTTCACTATTATATTGTGGTATTCTTCCGTTAACATTTAGTGTAAGATTTATTTCAATCGGTTCACAAATAAAAAAGTTATGTCAATTTGAAGTGACATGTTCGCCAAAATTGCTAAGAAATATTAACTGTTTTATTAAATTTTCTTCTTTGATATATTGATCATCATCATTAACTCTTTGACAGCCAAACTGCAGGGCCTCAGGCCTTTGTTTAATAATTTTTGGTCACCCATCCCGTGAACAACTCTTGCGAAAATTGCTTAGCAATATCGATCGTGCGCAGTGGCGCTTATCCGTAGCGCCACCCAGCTACGAATTAATATTGTCTATAAAATGATAATTTGTATGATGAAAAATAAAAAAAAAGATTCCAAAATTTTGACAATTCCAAAGTAAGTTGACTTCATTTATAAATGGCCAATGATATTAAATAGGGTTCAGGTTATAATGGACATGTGGTATACGATCACGCGAGTAGGAGAACAAGCGAAAAGAGCCTGCCGATGATGCAATTAAGCATCGAGTAGTTTACAGTGAACGCATATTTTTATCAGATTAGGTTCACGTCGTCGTCGGGCCAGCGGAGGTGGTTGGCAGCCCCCGCATTGCACGGTTTCGTCTGTCTGGGAGAGGCACTCGATTTACCCGAGCCTCTCCAATTTTCCATCTGCAAGGGGACCAATGTCAAGTCCAATACTTGAGTGTTCTGGCGACGCGGCCATAGCTTGCAGGGTTTCATCTCCCATGAGACGGTGTCATCATCATCATCATCATCAGCCCTTTTACGCCCCCACTGCAGGGCCTCAGGCCTTCCTTATGGATGGTTAAGGAGGATGGGCCATGACCCTCCACGCTGGCCCAATGCGGATTGGAGGGTATTAACGACTGCAAATGCAGCCGGGACCAACGGTTTAACGTGCCTTCCGAAGCACGGAGTAGCTCGAGATAATAATTGTATGGTCACCCATCTCGTGCCGACCCTTGCGAAAGTTGCTTAACGACAACGATCGCGGGCCGCGGCGCTTATCCACTACGCCACCGAAGGCAGTTCACTATTGGGTTCACGGAGGAGAATCCTACTCACCCCCTGTTGGGAAGCTTTTCCACGACGTTAAAAAAGTTAGATTCACGTCAACTGAAGTTAAGAAGGTAAAGACAACTCGATTGATTTTTTTTTTCTTCTCTTATTACATTTTTTTCTGTAATAATAATACTACTTTTGATTTTTTTAACATACAAATTTGCTGTAGATACTTACTTCAAAGTTGGTATTTTCAGTCTTCGCCGGAAACAATTGTTTATTCATTTGTCACAACACATATAATATTACGCGAGTCTGAGGATCGATTCAGAGTAGCTCGGTGGCGTAGCGAATAAACGCCATGGCATAAGTCCTGGTTGTATTTGCAGTCGTTGATATCCTCCAATTCGCATTGAGCCAGCATGGAAAGTCGTGGCCCATCCTCCTTAATCCAAAAGGCTCCTGCTGTTGGTGACGTAAAAGGGCTGATGATGATGATGAGGGCCGTTCAAATCTGACGGAAGCTTAGTTAAGTACCTCTAGGAAGTACGTGTTAGTAGACGATTTCCTTCGAGTGTGGAAAGTCGAAATTAAAAATATGTATATATTTTTTATATCATTAATAAATAAAACTCAACGTATCTTCCGTCAGACATGTACCGACCGACTTTTATTGACAGAGAAAGAGATTGGACGGAAAGCCTTCGGTCTAGGGAAACACCTGAATAACGCGAAGCGTATTTAACTACCCATCGAGAGGTTCATGCACTATAAAGTTGAATCTGAAGCATTTACCGTCAGGGACAATCTCTTGAGCTCTCGGACAACTCATACAACAAGCGTTTGATCTCAGGAAACTTCTGAAGATCACATAGCGCGTCTAACTGCTAACCGTAACATACATGCAATATTATTATGAGTATGAAACTTCCTTTGATAGAGAAATGCGCTTGGTCTCTGAAAGAGCTCGCAGTTTACACAATAGAGATCGAGAAAGTAGTTTCGATTATCGCCAACCTGTGTTGGCTTCATACTCCACAGGCGTACCGAAGATAATTTTCACAAGGTATAATGAACTAGCTATTTTCCCGCAACTTTGCCGCAAAATTATAGCCTATGACATCCGTGTTGTAGGTTCCCGTAGGTAGAATCGCTCTGAAACTATCGGTCCAGTAGTTTTGGGGCAAATTACATAGAAGCAAACAAACAAACAACCAAATCTTTCTTCTTTATCATATAAGTATATCTTAGGTATAAAAGGTCCGATGGCGTAGTGGGTTAGCGCATTCGGTTTGAATTGCAGTGAAATAAACAAGGACATACTTGAATACTTATTTTACATAACTAAGTACAAACGACAAACTCATGACTAGCAAGCGATTTCTTCCAGGCAACCTAGCATTACATGGGAAATAGAACAATAAATAGCGAATTGTGCATAAAACTAGGCAAATAATAATAATTAAAAAAAAACAAAAGAACGACAGTTTCAGAGTACGAATAAAATTCTCAGACACAAACGACAACCAGAGCGCGAGAAACGAGAAAAAAGATAGAAAAATTACATTCGTAAGGACAGGATGGGTGACCAAAACATTATTATCTTGAGCACTGTGCACAGCACTGGCACAATATACGTTAAGTCGTTAGTCCTGGCTGCATCAGCAACGTGAACACCCACCGATCCGCATTAAGCACAGTGGGTTATGGCCCATTGATCTTATTCGATTCGACTCCATTCATAGGAATAAAAGAATTTACCAAAATACTTCCCACGCAGACGAAGTTGCGGGCACAGCTAGTGTTCAGTAAAGTTCTACAAAATGTAATTGATGACCTACCAATGAATATTATTTAAAATTCATGTAAAGAACATACTTATAATTAAAGGTTATTATAAAGTTGATGATGACTTTAAGGAATGCGTGGAATTAATAGCCTTCGCTTTGTTCTATAACGACTAATTATATATACCAACCTATATCCTACAGACTTTGAAAGTTGTATTTATTATTGTCATAATACGTACTGTTTTAATAATGACATGATTTATGTAAATGTCATTACTTATGATAAAGAGCTGGTAAGTTTCTTTCGCTTTTCTTTTGTCAGCTAAAAGACTATCTGAACAAGTGGCAGGGGAGAAAATTTTTTTTGGACGATTCAAAATGTTTGAAACGAGCTTACTCGAATAAAGACATTTTCATTTCATTTCAGTCCGCTTGAAGGCTAATCAAAACGCGACATACTCACTTAACCCTTCCGATACATACTTACTTTGGGGGGCCTTGCCTAAAGCCCTGCTATTTAAGAGGAACTGCTCTATTCCCAACACGTGAACTCACCGGGGACTTAGCAGTTTCTATTCACGGTCATGCTATATTTCTGGGGGAAAAATAGTAGTTTGAACAAGGGGCAAAAAAAAAACCATTGTATATTGTAGTTGAGTAGTCTATGTTTTTAATACCCCGTGTCACATTCTACGATGGTGAAAAAATTAAACAATAACTCATGGTCACTTAGCGTAATTAGAAATTCGAAAGATTTTACCCTAAGAATTTGTTCATATTTATAACGAGGGGCCACACTAAGGAGAAATTACTTAATTTCTGGTTAGTGTGGTTCCATCGTAAAACCCTCGGTATTTGAGTAAGAGAATTGATAAAACTTAATGTAATCGACTCATATCACGATTAGATTTTTTTCTGAGATATTATTGTTATCATAATAATAATAGACAGATAGATTCTTTATTTGCATCATCATATCGCACATATACATTTTATGTAACAAATTTAAATATAGTATAGAAAAAGATAAAGAAAAATAAAATGGAAGTAAGGCAGGAACAACATAATTACGACAAAAACAACTGATTTATTAATGTAACGAAATGCCTAAATGTTACCTTCTTTTATTTATTTGTTGATTCTTAAATTATAGAAGCTGCAGCCGGAGATTTCAAAGAAAACCAAAATTTACTTAATACTAATTTAATGAAATAAAATTACATTATATTTCTTAATAACTACTCTAACTATGTGACTCGATCGATGGTTGATCTAAAAGTGAACTCTATTACTCGGATTGCCTCCACGTCCGTTGTTGCTTCACGTGCCGCTGCATCAGCAGTTTTGGTAATATTTCGGTCACTCCAACAATGGGACCGAGTGCAACGATGTTATATGTCAGCAGATTCCTTTAGTGTGTGTGACCCGACTATAACACTTATATACGTTTTGTTTACCGAATTGTATATGTATGGAACTGTTGGTTTATATGTTATGTTTCTTTTGTTCATATACGTTTGTTGTAACTGTTTGTTCATAAAAAAAAACAATAAGTAATCTGATTTTATTGATAAAAGGATAAAGTAAGCACTGTAGTAAGCGAAACGCGTACTACAGTGTTTTAATTATTTTATCACACGTAATGATAATTAAGATAATGTTCAGCTTAATATTTATATAAAAACGATCAAATATGATAATTATACATATACAATGTAACAATGCTGTGGTTACTTTTTGGTGTAACGTTAGTATTAGGGGAGAGTGTAGTGGAGGAAAATTCAAAAATAGTGGTCATCAAACAAGGTCCTGTAAGAGGATACAGAGTCTCTGGTACAAATGTATTTGCTTACCACAATATTCCATATGCAACGGCACCAACAGGGCCAAACAAATTTAAGGTATGGATTTTAATACACCCCTTGAAAGCCCCTTTTCTTAGTCCATTTGATTATCGCTCATCAGGAGTTATAAAGACATAGAAACATAATAATATGATATTTTACAAAAGCAATCCAAGTTTTAGGTGAAAGTAATAGTTATTTTGAAGATGTTAAGCAAAATTTTCATTATATTCACAGTGAACTGATATGATTTCGTCATTGTTGCGCTAGACTTTAGTTTAAAATCTGAAGAGTTTAAAGGACTTAAAATTTTGAACAAAATGAAATGAAATTATTAGATTATTTTAGAGTTCTTAAATCAATTTACTTCAAAAAATCGAATATAGAATACTTGGCGTCTAAAATATTGCACTTTTAAAAAACCTATTTAAAATTTTTCAAACATTATCAAGAGGATATCATTAGAAAGGAGTATAAAAAAAAACAATTAAATTTAAATATTGTTTAATTTTATACACACATAAAAAAATAAAAATAAAAAATTATAAAAATCCTTAACTGATTATTAATTAGCAACAAATAATTTACATAAATAATACACAAAAGTTGGCTTAAAATTAACATAAAATCTAGTGTTACCACCGATTTGCCCTGATGAAGGTTTCCATACGGTGCCTTTTATACCTCACCAACATCAGGGGCTCTTCTCAAGAAATTCCACAGAATAGTTATATACCAAGTAATGATACCATTCGTATTCAATAAAAAAAAAAACATAAATACAGTATACTCCTGTTTTGCGGAGTCATGACTACGACTACGTAATAAAACACTTTAGTCTCTGTTGCTCTTAATTTACAAAGATTTTTTCTATGTTTTATTAGCATTATTTGCGAAATAAGTAAATTTCAATGGAGTATGAATATTTCATGAACATTTTGACTAAACTACAATTTTGATGTTGTAGCAACAACAAGTAAAAAAAAAAAACATAATTGAACGTCGCGCAAAACGCACAACTGACTTTCCAAATATTGTTTCGCCAGAAACATAGCGGAATCGTTAATTTCCACAATGACACTGACTGTCTCGTGTAAAATGACCGGAAATTTATTTGTTTTTCCAAATGTTTGTTTGAAACCACGTTTACATAAATTTCGTCGTTGTTTCTCCAAAGTTACCAATTTGGAATATCAACTGTATTCGTATTTTTTATTTTAAAATAGTTTATACTGTAATATTTAAATGATTCCAGGCTCCATTGCCGCCACCAGAATGGACTGAGATTTATGATGCAATTGATAAGCAAGTCACTTGTCCTCAAATTTGGGAAACTGTGAATCCCAAAGAAGATTGTCTTATTGCCAGTGTATTCGCTCCTGAAAATGGAACGGGCTTACCTGTTATGGTATACGTTCATGGAGGAGGATTTCAAATAGGTTCTGGTAATTATGAAACTAAATTTGGTATAAACAGTATTTCAGAGTTAATTGTAGTCAACTTCAACTACCGTCTAGGGGTGCACGGTTTTTTGTGCTTGGGTACAGAGGAAGCCCCAGGAAATGCTGGTATGAAAGATCAATTAGCGCTTTTACGATGGGTTCAGGATAATATCGCTGCATTTGGTGGCAATGCTGATGATGTAACAATTGTGGGTTGTAGCGCAGGAGGATGGTCTGTTGATCTGTTAAGACTTGTAAGTGTTACGGATGGTCTGTTTAAGAATGTTATATCAGAAAGCGGTGCCAATCCAGGCGCGTTTGGTATACAACACAACCCTATAGAAAATGCCAAATATTATGCAAAAGCGCTGGGTTTTAATAAAGTTGATGATTTAAGTGCATTGTCCAATTTTTACACCACTGCTTCTATCGAAACTTTAATCTCAAGACCAGATTTGGCACAAATTAGGCCTGATTCGAGTATTATTTTTGCGCCATGCGTGGAGAAAGATATTGGTATAGAAATGTTTCTCGACGATGCTCCAGTGAATATATTAAAAAGCGGTTCCAATAAAGCGCATCCCGTATTATATGGCTTAGCTAATTTAGAAGGCGTAATGGTCCTCGGGAACTTGCAGGATTGGAGCATTAGAATGAACGAAAACTTTTCAGAATTTTTGCCAGCTGACTTAGCGTTTCAAAATGTGGAAGAAAAAATGGCTGTGGCGAAGCGAGTTAAAGAATTTTATTTCAAAGATAAGCCCATATCTCAAGACACCATTCGAGCATACGTTGATTATTTCTCGGATACACTATTCGTCTACTCAATACTAAGATCAGTGAAATTAAGTGCTGAATCAGGAAACAACAGTACTATATACTTGTACGAGTATTCATTTCCAAATATTAATTTATCAGTATTTCCTGGTATGACTGGAGCACTTCACTGTGAACAAATGCAGGCTACATTTGATAGAAATGAAACATCTATGACCGAAGAACAATTAATCATTAGGGCTAAAATGAGAAGAATGTACAGTGACTTTATTACAACAGGGTAAGTAAAACAGAATCGATCTGCACTATTGAATGAAATAACATTATCATCAGTTAAGTTTCAAATCTTCCAAAATTTTGCGTTGTATTCGGGATGATTATTTCTTAATACAAAAATGTTTTTAAACTTGATATTTACAGGAATTCTTGCACTGATATGTATTTTGAAAATGTATTTCTAAACAGTTCTATTGCGCATTAAACATAAATGAATATTACAGGAACCCAGTCTCAGATGAATCTTTACTGCCGCCATGGAGTCCGACAAACGCTAACAGAAGTCCTTACATGGCTATGGGAGTGAACATATCAGTTCAAGGGCCGCTGTATGAGGAGCGTGCAAATCTCTGGGATGACATATACGGGAAGTACTACCGCGCACCTATCCCACCTGGAAATTCTGCCAAGATTCTTAGCATCAACAAAGTATTGTGGATTATGTATATTATAGTTTTCATACCTAATTTAAGTGTATTGTTGCGAAAAGTAACCAAAACTTATTGAATTTTTATATATAGTTTGTTTGAGATTTGATGAATTAAGGCGAGTATTAAAATTCACTAAGAAAAAATCTGTTTATGTTTCGACATGAATGAAGTGTTATTTATTTTGGATTTATTGGTTCATACGAGTAACTTTATTCAATCTCTGTTTATTTTTATATATTCTATTTCTAGGGCAGGTTTTAAAACCGTGAAAGTCTAACAACTTGAACTGATATTTTAATTTATATGAATTTAAAATTTATTAAATGTTTTTTAACAAAATTGAACTTTAATTACTGATACAAATAAGACTTATAATCATTTAGAAGTCTTATCTTTAAATGTATTATTCAAGCTACGAATCCGCTTGAAGATTAAATTCCGTAAAATGCTGCAACTTTGCCAACCAAGCCTAAATTTGCCTAATTTATTTAGATCTCAATATTTCGAGCCTGCTTAATTTTAAATTTTTTTTCTACCATTCGGTATGATTGGACATTAGTATGACAACATATTTTTAATTTTTCTCTATGGTAACTACATAGATTATCTGTCAGCAGTGCAAAAACGGTTAGCGTGAGTGCAAGAAATTTTAAAGAGTCCCAGAACTTTTGGAGTTTTAATTAAAAAGAAAGTGTTTCAGTGCCGTAATAACATACAAAGGTAAGGAAATATACTCTGTTTACTGTATTATTTATTACTTATTTATAAAAATCAGAATTTTGTCAAATATACTCACTATGTAATGTTGGGCAGTGTTTTGGAAAGTCGAATGACACAACTTTGCCCGGGTCTAGGGTTGTCAAGGATTTTAATCAGAATTGAATACCTACTTTGTTAGTCCTTCTTAGATTAACAATGTGAAAGTTAGGATATTGGTTTGTTAGTCACTGGCAAAGTTAGATAGTAAATAAATCTTTATATTTATGATGTCATTGGATTTTTCAACTTTATTTCACTGGCGACAATTAATGTAATTTCAAAACATTTAAGTTTATTCTAAGTAGATAATCCTATTTCAGTTACAATTTAAAAATGGGGAACGATAAATCAAGAAAAAGGCGAAAACTAGGCGCTCGTAAATACTCCGATTACTCCAAAGAAATGCTAGAAATTGCTGTGGAACTAGTAAAAAAAAAAGTTGTGTCATCATATGAAGCGGAAAAGCAGTTTGGTATCCCACGTCGGACAATACTAAACCATAGTAAAAACGTTCATACCAAAGTATGTGGACGACCGACTGAATTGTCTACAGAGGAGGAAGCCCACATTGCCGACGTGGTGAGTCTTTCTGCACAATTTGGCAGTCCTCTAACTATGTTGGACTTACGTATTGTAGTGTATAACTACTTGAACAAATGCGGAAAAACTAACCTTTTTAAAGGGAAAATGCCCGGAGAACGCTGGGCCCGGGGATTCTTAGAACGTCACAATTTTTCACAAAGAGAAGTACAAAATATAAAAAAGTCTCGAGCTGCAAAGACAGTAGACGAATTTAACGAATATTTTAAAAATCTCGAAACATCGCTTGAAAATATTCCTGCTAGTAATATTTTAAATTTTGACGAGACAAACTTAACAGATGATCCCGGATCTCAAAAGTGTATATTCAAACGAGGGACTAAACACCCCGAAAGGGTTATTAACGCAAGCAAAAGCGCAGTATCGGTCATGTTCAGTGGTACTGCTGACGGTCAATGCCTACCACCCTACGTTGTATACAAAGCTGATAACTTATGGTCTAGGTGGTGCGTGAATGGTCCAAAAAATGCTCGTTATAATCGTACTAAGTCAGGATGGTTCGATATGACATGTTTCGAAGATTGGTTCAAGACTATAGTTTTGCCATGGGCCAATTCACTAGACGGCATGAAACTTATAATCGGCGATAACTTGGCATCGCACTTAAGTGTCGAGACAATACAAATATGTCAAAGTCGAAACATAAGATTTGCTTTTCTCCCAAAAAATGCTACACATCTTACTCAACCGTTAGATGTGGCATTTTTCGGGCCAATGAAACGACATTGGCGTGAAATTCTAATTAATTATAAAGCTACATACGGCAATACAAACACCATTAACAAATGTCATTTCCCACAATTATTAAATGAATTAATGACTAAATTAAACATGACGAAAGAGATAAACTTACGCAAAGGATTTGAAGGATCTGGAATATACCCTTTCAATCCATCAAGAGTCATCGATAAGGTACCAGCGGTACAAGAAAAAAACATTCGTGAATTTGACGCAAACCTTCTAGACTTTTTACAGCGGAATAGACAATCCAAACCTTTAAAGACAGGACAAAACTGCAGACTTAAAGTAATACCCGGCAAATCTATATCGACCGAAGAAGCAGAAGAGTTAGCTAAAGTCAAAAATATAAAGAAGATTCCGAAGATAAATAAACAAATAGTAGAAAAAGTCTCAACTTCACCAGGTCCATCGAAGATAATATCTATAAAAAATAAGAAAATTAATAATCCTGGTATCTCCCACAAAAAATCAATTTCACCGCCAATCAATGACAATGAAATAGATAGATGCTCCCATTCCGCTGGTTTGAAATTGTTGGTCAATAATCCTGCTAAACTTTGTGATCTTTGTATTAATGCAATTAACATTCACTTGCAACCGTTAGCGTCAGAGTCCTATAAATTCGTGCATTGTCTAAAAGATTTATCAAAGAGTTCCGACATGAACGCTCCGTTTTGTAATGGTACACCAGAATGCCTACAGTTCAATATAGTCAACATACCTAGAAATGATCATGAACTACAAAAAAAGTCCCCAAGAAAGAAGAAAACACCTAAAATAACAATTACGTCTAATATAATTATCAAAGAAGCATCTCCTGATAAAAATATGGTTTTGCAAGAAATAGATACACAAAAAAATAAAAGAAAAAGGCAAGCCAATACTTCCCAAACACAGTTATCCAAAAATAAAAGGAGAAGGAAACGTGTATACTGTAGCGATTCAAGCTCAACGTCAAAAACATCTTTTCATGCTGCAGATGACTCCGATTATGAAAATTTTGATAATTATATTGCGTCATGTTTACAAGAACAAGAAGACCAAGAAAATTTTTGCCCTTTCGGATTGAGTAATATAGATTTTTGTGTAGAAGATCCTTTAGGATTTTTCATAAACAGCTGGTTAATAGTCAAATTTGCTTCAAAAAAAAGTGTTAAGCACTTTATCGGGAAGGTTTTATTCATTAATAATAAAATTCCTACGGTACAATTTGTGAGAAGAGTAAAAAACTCAAACTGTGGTAAGGGAACAGTCTTCACTTACCCTAACATTGAAGACGTAAGTGCTGTACAAGATTTAAATGATATTATTATGGTATTACCTGATCCTCAAATTACCCGAAGAGGACAATTCATATTTAATTTAAATTTCGATAAATATAACATACAATAGTAATAAGTATATCCTATTTTCAAGTGTGTAATATTTGTAGGTTTGTAGATATTATCTCTACTAATTTTTTGTTTTCAAATTCAATTATGTTCCTGTTGGTATTAGTTCATTTAGATTAAGATTATAGTTGTATTTGGTGGACAATAATAACCTTATGTAAGGTTTCGTGATATCAGATATTATTTTATTTTTGTCCTGTGTTGATTTTTTATCATACTAGATCAGTCTAGAAATAGATAGAATCTATTTTAGAAGAATATGTCTCATGATCTCATTGATTAAGATTACAGTTTTGTAAACCAAAAGATCCTTATTTAACGTGTCGTGATATCAGATGTGATTATGTGTATGGTGTAGATTTTTAATTATACTCGTATTAAATCTATGAAGCAATAGATAGATTATATTATAGAAGAGGATAATTTTAGATGTTTGTTTCTGTTTATTAAAGATTTTTTTTTTATACAGTTACTAGGAAATTTGTTTATTTCTTAGTTAACACAAATTAATGGTGGAAAATTTTAAGTGAGGATAGCGACATGTGGGGAAGAAATTTGACTAATTTGTATAATTCAACATGATTATGTCTCGTGATTATTTTTGATAGAAATAGATACTTTTCATTTATTAAGTCGTAACCAAATATTTATTTTTACAAATTGCAATTGTGATTACTTAGGTAAATAAATTATTTTTCAATAAATAATTTAAAAAATGTATTTTTGGCACAACCCTACCTTCAACTACATTTTTGTATGGGAAGTTCGTGGCACCTGCTACAACATTGCCCATCAGCCGCGAAAAAAAAACTATTACATTAATGGTTATAAATTGATTATTGGAGACAAGAACGTTGTCCTGTGTAAACGGGAAAAAAAGACTGATAAAATTAATAGCTAATTTTAATGAATTATCCTTCTAGGCAAAGTTGTGTCTTTGACATACAACATTGCCTGCTACTTTGTGCATCTGTAACTCGAAAAAGGTGCACGATTTAATAAGATTTGGGTCATATTTGGCAAAGCATAAAGTCTACTTTTCTATTTAAATCCATTAAATGCCATATAAATATATAGGTTCAGAGATATAGGTAAAAAACCTTAAAATCCAGGCAAAGTTGAAGCATTTTACGGTAATCTTGAAACCTTACATTCGCGACAGCATGATATATTGTAAACACAATGTGTTATCAATAGCAAGTGCGTTTAATATATATAAGTATATAATAGTTCTTTTTTTCCTGGCCTTGTTCCGTTATGCACAGGAATTCTGCCGACATTCCGCAGTGAGAGAACCAGGAGACTCGAGAGACTGAGGGGTTACCGGACAAAAATCCTTATAAATTATTGACATAGCTTATTTGAGATATGTTTGGCCCGTAGAGCGCCATCTTTTTTAAGTGGTTTATAAAAGTAAACATTATATATTTTGCAAGGTATGTCGATTCTATTGCCTACTGCGCAGAGTAGGGCTCGGTCAAAAGTGTAAGGCCTGGCATTATAAAAAAAATTGTACGTTCTCCACAAATACACTGGTAGATTTTTCTTATTTGCTTCCAACTTGTATGGGTGCTTACTGGCAGAT